CAGACTCGTGCGGCCGTCGGTTCGGGGACGTCTTGTGAAGGCTGAGAGGCGGCGCTGGAACATCGTCAGAGGCCCCATCTCGGCGGTCATTGCTACATTGATGGATGTGGGGCGGGGCCCGAAGACTGCAACGGTCTGGACCCGCCCCAATCTGGCTTGAGTTGATGAGTGGCACACCCCTTCGAGCGGCGACGAGGCGTTTGAGCACTTCGGCTCCACCACGGAGCTGATCGACGACCTCATCAGTGACATTCGCTCGGCGCTCTGGTCAGAGGCTAGTAGGCATGACAATGGCGAGGGCCTTGCGGGCGGCGGCGACTTCTCCCACATCATGAGGGAGCTCAAGCGTCACCAGGCCCGCAGCCAGCATGATGAACATGGATTGAATTTGACAGTCGTGGCTGGAGGGCAGTGGACTCGAGCTCGGAGGTACCTTTGCGGGTACAAGTTGGAGTCCACCACATGCCCGCGGTGCATGAAGCATCCTGAGACACTCGTTCACAGGATATGGTCTTGCGAGAGCAACTGCGACCACGACGACTACGACAAGACTGCCCCGCTGCTCCCTGCGGCGACCGCGCAGCATGAGAGCCAACCTACTTTCTGGCTCCGTGGTGCGCCCCTGCATGACCACGCCTCGGTTCGACGAGGCGCTGCTGGCCGAGCTTGAGCTCAGGCTGCCAGGCGCCTTTGAGGAATGTGAGGAAGGGGGGTGGACGGTGGTTCATGGGGACGGGTCGGGAGGGAAGCACTCGGACGACCCCCGTCGTCGGCGCTGTGGCGCCGCGATCGTGGCCCTCGCCCCCGATGAGCAGGGTGATTTTCAGGAGCACGCTGGCATTGCGGTCCCTCTCCTCGGGCTGAAGCAGTCTGTCCCGAGGGCTGAGTTTCTAGCGTTTTGTCTCATGCTCGAGAACGTCCCAGGTAATGTTGAATTCGTCACCGACCATAAGAATGTAGCCAGGTCGTGGAAGTTTTACCTTGAGAATCCCAGGGCCTTCCGTCTCCAGGAGGACCTTTGGGAGCGTGCTCGAAAGTCTTGGAGATCCAGGCCTGGCCAGCTCACGGTTCGGTGGACTCCATCGCACACTGATGAGAAAGCGAGTTTTAATAGTGAGCAGGACATGCTCACGGCCATGGGTAACATGGCTGCGGATATCTGGGCGGGGAGGACGGCGGAGTTGGCGTGGGAGAGGGGGGTGGTGGGGGACCTTCCTCGGACCGATGCGGTCGACTCTGCTGCTGCAATGATCAGGAGACGTGCCCGTCGTGCGCTCCAGGACGCTGCCGCCGCCGACAAATCGTCGAAGGTGGAGAGAGATACGGTGCCCACCCAAGCGGTGCCGAAGTCAAGAGTTGCTCGAGCTGTCGCTGCATCCGCCCACCGCCTCCACCTGAAGGGCTCGGTGTGGGTTTGCGAGGTGCGTCTCCAGACTGCGCCCAAGTTGAGGTTCCTGGAGTTGAGCTCGAGCCCTTGTTATCCTCCCCCTCCTCCTCCTCCTGAGGCCCCCCCCCCTCCCAGGGCTCAGAGGATCACTCAGGGAATCGGTTTGAATTTGCAGGGAGTTGAGGTCCACCCGTCGCACTCGCTCGGTCGAGCGGACCAACTTTCCCTGACCTTTTGCGACACTTGTGGGGCATATGCGACTGTAGACCATCTCATTGCAGAATGTCGTCCGAGTCGGAAAGGCTCGGACGACATTGGGCAAGGGGCTCTACCCTCGTCGCGATGGGCCTCCCAAGGCTGTTAGGATGGCGATGCAAGTTAGTGAGGAGTTCGACTCCCGTCAGAGGCGTCCGAGTGCGAGCGGGGCTGGATCGTCAAACGATCCTGGCCCTGCTCCCGCTATATTTCAGGATGCACCCGCGGGTCCTAACCCCTAATCCCCGAAGGTGCTGTCCTCCTTTGAAGCTGCTGCCCCAATAATCTCCCTGGAGTCGGGGCTGGTGGCCCGCAACACTGTTGCTCCAATTGAATCCCAGCTTGAATCCTCCTCCTCCTCCTCCTCGTCCTCCTCCTCCCTCAGACCCTCTCCTCCGCCCCTCTTCGCCCTCCTCCTCCTCCCCCTCCTCCTCCTCCTCCTCCTCCTGCCCCGGAGGGGCGCCCCCATACGCGGGGTGTCGGGCCAAAGCGCCCCCTGGCGGAGGCGGGGACCGCCGGGCCTTCGGGGGGAAAGCCCCCGCGCCCGGGACGGCCCCCAAAGCGGGGTCCCCTTCCCGGGGGGCCCCCGGCCACGCAGCCTCCCACGGGAGCCTGGCTACCCAGCCAGGTGTCCCCCGTGGGAGTCGTGGCTGGGGGGTCCTTCTCACCCGTCGTGTCGTCGCCGTCGCTGTCGTCGTCTGTCGTGTCGTGGCGGGCCCCTGGGGTGGGTGGTGTGGGTTTGGTGGTGGCCTGGCCCCTCCCCATTCTGTCGGCTGCCGGGCGTTTCCGGCTGGGCTGGTTTCCGGCCGACACAACGCGGGGGGGGGAGCTGGCCAGCCATCCCCATGCTGCCCGCTTGCGGGGGGCCCGCCGGCGCCGTGCGCCGCCCCCGCGCCGTGAGCGCCCCGCGGCCCGGCCGCGCCCGCGGGCGCCCGGCCGCGGCGGCGCGCGCATTTAGTGCTGTGCACGCCCCCGTCCGCGGGCACTTCCATTCCATCCCATTCCATTCCATTCCATTCCATTCCATTCCATTCCATTCCATTCCATTCCATTCCATTCCATTCCATTCCATTCCATTCCATTCCTCCTCCTCCTCCCCCCCCCCTCCGCCGTGACTGCCCCCCCGGCCGTCGGGCCCACTTCGATCCCAGCAGGCCCGCCCCTGTCCCCCCCACCCCTCGCGCAGGAGGCCCATTCCTGGGCGCGCCGGGAGAGTCTCGGTGGGGTGCCTGTGATTCTCGCGGCGACTCCTCGTCTGTGGGGCCCTGGCCTGCCGAGTCCAGGACAAGGGTCTACAGTGGAGACCCAAGCCGAAAAGCCTGCTCGCCTCCAGGGTGCCCTGGGTTTCGTGGGCGTCGATGGTTTTGCCATGGAAAGCGTGACGTTCCCACACCAAGAATCAATGGACGTCCTGGGGTCTCAGGGTTGGGTTTCTTGTGGAAGGTTTCTTGTGGTCGGGCCCCCACTGTACCTGCAGCCTGGAATCCTCGTGCGCGATGTGGGCACTGCGATTGCCATGCGCAGGGCAGGCCACTGCTGTGCAGGGTCTGCTGTTCTCTCGGCAGTGAGCACGACTGATGGAGCAGCAAGTGTTGCCTGCCCGACGGCAGCGGTAGCTCTCAATGCTTGACGCTTCGCGTATCCTCACCAGTTCAGCTTCCCGCGCGCTGTGTCCCAGCCTCGTTCTTACCGCCCTCTGGACTTTCCTTGCGGGCCGCGATTATATATATATATATATATATATATATATATATATATATATATATATAAAAAAAAAAAAAAAAAAAAAAAAAAAAAAAAAAAAAAACCTCACTAGCCTATCCAGAAACAGACACCAGGCGAGTTGGTTTGACCAGGGATGTGTAGCAGCATGGCAGGCAACGACAGGCACCACTGTGCCAGAACATCGTGGGGTTCATCGTGGGGTTTGGTTGGGGCCCTCTTGGGGCCATTTTGAAGGCCTCTTGACGCCGTCTTGGGACCCTTTTGGAAGCCTCTTGGGCCCTCGTGGGGATCTCTCGGGGCGTTTTGGGGGTTTGCTTGGGGCTGTCTTTGGACTCTCTTGGAGCCCTTGGGGCACTTTGGAAGCCATCGGTCAAAGAAGGTTGGTACCCAAGTACGGCCCCGCCGTCTGGGCCCGAATATTTGCCTACTGGCGCCCTCTTGGTGCGCTCTTGGTGCGTTCTTCGGCGCTCTTGGGGCACCCTTGGGCACCACTGGGGGCCCTCTTGGGCTATATTGCAGCTATCTTGGTTGAGTCCTCAAGAGCCCATCGGAAGCGAAAATGCGAGAACGCAAACAACATTTAGGAACACACTGGTTTTGAAGGAGTCTGGCCTCCTGGAGGACTCCTTGGGAGGCTCGGAGGTTACTTGGAGGGGTCCTTGGGCAATATTGAGTGCTCTTGGAAGCATATTGGAGGTTATCTTGAACCATCTTGGGATATCTTGAGCGATCTTGGGGGCCATCTCGGGCTCTTTGGGGCCCTCGCGGAGCCACCTGAGGCCCCAAACGGCCTTCTGACACCACGCGGGGAGGAGGACGAGGAGGAGGAGGAGGAGGAGGAGGAGGAGGAGGAGGAGGAGGAGGAGGGGCGACGTGCGAGGGCGGCGACGAGTTCGACGAGATCCCTGGGGGCCCAGGCAGGCCAGACGACGTCCGACATCGCAGCCTCGGTGTGCGACGACCGTCGCCGGCGGCGTCGGCGCCCCTCCGCGCGGTGGGAGGCCATGACCACCTGCGCCGCCGTCGCGGGCACCAGTTGGGGCCCCGAGGGGTTTTTCCATCCTTCGGGGGGCGGCCACGAGGGGGTGACGACTAGGGGGGGCGGCGGATACCATGGCGGGGGCCATGATACATCGGCGTACCCCCCCTAGGCCGCGCACATGCCGCCGGCCATGATTTGCGCCCCCCCCCTCCTCTTGGACACCCCCGAGAGGGGTCCTCCCATCTCCGAAAGAAGGGAAGGGGGCTCGCAGAACGAGCTCCTGAGACCACTCACGCCCCAGAGGGCTGGTGGGATCTCGGACGGCCTCTCCCGCTGCGGACAGGGCTCCCATGTTGGCGGGCCCACGCACCGAGACGATTGAGCGAAGACGGCGGTGTCCCTGGCCCAGAACAGGAGCAGTGGGAACGACGACGACGACGACGACGACGACGACGACGACGACGACGACGACGACGACGACGACGGCGAGTCCCAACAGCAGGCGGGGATGGCGGGCAGCTTCGCCCCGGGAGGCGCCGGGGCCCCGAGGCGCAAGCCTGAGGAGCTCCCTCTCTCGCCCCTCGGGGCCCGCCCATGGCGTGAAGCCGTCACCCGTGGCCCTCCCCTGCGCCCCCCCCCCCTCGGCGGCAGATGACCAGCCAGATGATCCTCGAGCGCGCCCGCGACACCGGGATGGGCAGCAACCGCAGGGCGCGGCGCAAGGCACCGGGGGCGGGGTCCAGCTGTGGAGGGGGGGCGCGGCCGCCTCAGCCAGAGTTAAATCGGGCCTGTCCCTCTACAGGAGGAGTATTCAAAAATAGGCAGAAAATAGTCTGGGGACGGTTTTTCAATTTTTCCCCAAACAGCTTGCTGAACGGGGTGCTTCTGTGGTTGAAGCTAAGTCCTGCCGAGGAAATTCAAAGCAGAGACGTCCTCAAAACAATTGGGTGGTCCGGGCCGTTTCCCCTGAGACATCCTCGCAACTCTTGTTTCTGAGCTGTCCGGGATTGGGCGTTTCGCGTGAGAAATCCTCCAAGTTCTAATTCCCAGATGCCGCGCAAGAGGTGGTCCGCTCGCCTGAAACATCCTCGAAACTGTGAGCTCCCAGATGCCGCGCGAGAGGTGTTCCGGCCCGTTTCGCCTGAGACATCCTCCGAACTCTGAGCCCCCAGATGCCGCGCGAGAGGTGGTCCGGCCCGTATCGCTTGAGATATCCTCCAAACTCTGAGCTCTGAAATGCCGTGCGCGAGGTGGTCCTGCGCGTTTCGCCTGAGACATCCTCGCAACTCTGAGTTCTGAGATGCCGCACAAGGGGTGGTCCAGCCCATTTTGCCTGAGACATCCTCCAAGCTCTGACCTCGGAGATGCCACGCGCGTGGTCCAGCCCGTTTCGCCTGAGACATCCTGGCAATTCTGAGCTCTGAGATGCCCTGCGCGAGGTGGTCCGGCCCGTCTCGCCTGGGACATCCTCGCAACTCTGAGCTCTGAGATGCCGTGCGCAAGGTGGTCCTGCCCGTTTCGCACAAGACATTCTCGTAACTCTGAGCTCCCAGATGTGGTCCGGCCTGGGGGCCCAGAAGACCACATGTTACATATTCCCCCTGGGAGCCCCAGGAGGCCCCAGAGAGCTTCAGGAGGCCGCAGGACGCCCAGGACAGGCCCCAGGGGTCCCCAGGAGATTCCCAGGAGGTTCCCAGGAGGCCCTAGGAGGCCTCCTGTCAGAACGTGTCAAGTTAATACACATCCGGTGTCGATTTGTTGATTTTTCCTGCTTGTGGCCCCCTCCCCATTTTGGGGGGGCCAGACGGCCACATGTTGGATATCCCCCCCTGGGAGCCCCAAGAGGCTTCAGGAAGCCCCAGGTGGGGTCCAGGAGGCCACAGGAGGCCCAGGAGGAAGCCCCAGGAGGTCCCCAGGAGGCCCCAGGAGGCCCCAGGAAGCCCCCGCAACTCGGAGCTCTGAGACGCCGCGCTCGAGGTTGTCCGGCCCGTTTCGCCTGAGACTTCCTCGCAGCATGTTTCGCCCGAGACATCGTCGCAACTCTGGGGTCCGAGATGCCGCGCGCGAGGCCGCACTGGCATGTTATCATGTTCTACATGCCCGCGCGAGGCCGCAACTCTGGAAATGTTATCATGTTCTAACATGCCATGCCAGCCCACACTGGACGGGTACGCAATCGACCTTGGAAACCGCAGTGGGTTTAAAAACCCCGTTTGGGTATACTGCACTCTGGCTATAATCTATTGCTGTCTTTGACTTTAAATAAATATATATATATATATACACATATATGTGTATATACACATATACATATTCATCTTCATGTGTACATATATATATGTTACATATATGCATTTTGATTTGTCATCCAAAATCCCCTTGTATGAGGACATGGCCGACCTAAAGCCAGAGTTGCGGGCTCGAAGGCAGCCAGGTCCCTCGGCTGTGCCGCGGGAGTCAGCTGGGGGGCCAGTGGGCGGCGGCGCTATCGCACGGGGGCGGCGTGAGGGGGGCGGCCTCCGACGAGCGCGGGGGGATTCGGAGGCAGTGGCCTTCTGAGCAGGTCCTTGGTATAATTAAGTCAGGCATGTCCCTCTACAGGAGGAATATTCAAAAATAGTGTAAAGATCGTCAGGGGACGATTTGTTACACTATGTTTGATAAGTTTTGAAAATGGTTTGAATTTGTGTTAGGGCGACATGCCCGACCTAATGTTAGAAGCCCCCCCTCCCCGCTCTCTTACAAGGCTGCCCCCCCCTTGCGCCACTCCCTCGTGGGCGCCGCCAAAACAGTAAGCGAGAGCGGCGGGTGGCAGTAGAGAGGCGCGCGTGTTGGTGTCTCAAGCCCCCAGCGCCGGGGAGCATCCCATCATTACTGCAAGTCTAGAATTGCATATTGGGCTTCCTGAGCATGTGGTGTTATGGCTGCTACGGATGCTCCACATCCACACTCCTCCACCGTGTCCTTCGGAGACCCACATTCAGCTGCGCAATTGCACCTGTGAGTGTCTGACCGTCTTTGTGTGTCCATGAGCGCCCACGAATGTATTTATATGTGGTGAGCTTCATATTTATAGGTGCAGACCCTTACGTTTTTACTATGATGAACGCGTCCCAGAAGGATCATGGAACGGCACCTGAAACCTCGGACCCCAACTTAAGGCATACCCCCACCATGATATCCCACGCTCCTGCCAGAACTCTCCGCGCTCGCTCTGGATCCCATGAGCATGCCCAACGCTCCCAGGACCCCCCCGTCGAGCTCCAGGTTCAATTGCCACCCATACTGGCCCTGGAGAATTCGGACGTTCCCAATGACTGCCCCCTGTACCCGAGTGCAGTCGCTGAGGATCTGCGGGGCTACGTGAGTGTGGGGGTACTCTACCAATTCCTATCACGTTCGCTCCAGATGCCTCCAAGAGCGCCTCAGAGGAGCCTCAGACGCCCAACGAGGCTAGAGTCCGCTTGATGTCGCTTGGAAGGTTCCTCATCGTGCTAGAACCTGAGCGCGCGAAGCGCGCGCGTGGTTCCAGTTACAGAATCAGTGCATCGGAGATACGATCGGGAACTTTAAGATAGCGTGTCGCTTCGCCGGTTCTGGCCCACCGCGGTGCAGCGCGCCGCGCTGTCCACGTCCCGGCCCCGATGCGTCAACGTCCCGAGCGTTCCCCGACCTCCCGCCCCGCGGAGCGGAGCGATACGCCATCCGCTCGCAAGGCACAGCTTGTCGCTGGGGTGTGGCCGTGGCGACACGCTACGCAGAAGTTCCCAGCCGTGAGAGGCAGCCCTATTAGAGGTGGTCCGCGCTGGCCTCAGCACGCCCAACATCGGACGGGGCAAGGACCAGAGCGCTCCCAGAGCGTTCCCGAATGATCTCCCCACCGGCCGCCCCAGAGCGCTCCGGAACGCTCTCGGTGCGTTCCGGAACGCTCTGAGAAGGCCGCGGCGCCCGACACATCTCGCGGAGCGGCCCGATCACAGAGATTCTCTCGTCCTGCGAAAGTTGCCAAGGATGGGCCGAAGGAACAAGGATGCCTTGGAAAGTCCTCCTCCTCACCCTCCTACTCCTGCGCCTCATCCTCCTCCTCCTCCTCCTCCTCCTCCTCCTCCTCCTCCTCCTCCTCCTCCTCCTCCTCCTCCTCCTCCTCCTACTCCTCCTACTCCTCCTCCGCCTCCACTTGGCTTCGTCGTACCACAGGCCCCATCGGTGCGCGGGGCGGCCCGCGGGGCGCCGAGCACGGGGCGGCCTCGGCACTGTCGAGGCCGCCCCGTGCGGCTTGCTTGGGCGACCAGTGGAGGCCAGCCGTTGGGGCCGCTTCCCGGCGAAGGGGCGCGCAGAGAGGCCAGGGGCCGCTGCGTAATAGGGGAGCGATACGCCTCCTCCTCCTCCTCCTCATCCTCCTCCTCCTTCTTCCTCCTCCGTCTCCGCCTCCTCCTCCTCCTCCTCCTCCTCCTCCTCCTCCTTCCTCCTCCTTCCTTCCTCCTCCTCCTCATTCATGGGGGGGGGCGGGGGGCGGAGAAAGGTGCGCCGTTCGTGCCCCTTTTAGGTTCCAGGGGTGCCCCTTTAGTCTGCACGAACGAAATGGGCACGGGAAGAATGGGTACAATGCCCAACCGCGGATCTTGTTCATTTTGAACGGGACTCGCTGTCCACGCCGCCGCGGCCTGTGTTCATTCGAGACAGAAGGCCGCCTGCCAAACAGCGGCCGCTGTTGGTTTGGGACCACATTTGTTGTTGGGCACTGTACCCATTCTTTCCGTACCCATTTCGGGCGTCCAAATTAAGGGCCCCCAGGGTGCGCAGACGGTGCACATTTCCTCTCCTCCCCAATCGTCGCATCCCATGACGCAACGCCCGAGAGGCGCGGGATGGAAGGGCGACAGCCGAACAAGGGGCCCAGAGAAGGCACGCAAGACATCAGAGCACCTCCTCCGCCTCCTCCTCCGCCTCCTCCTCCTCCGCCTCCTCCTCCGCCTTCTCCTCCTCCTCCTCCTCCTCCGTCGCCGCCTCCTCCTCCTCTTCCTCCTCGTCCTCCTCCTCCGCCCTCTCCTCCTCCTCCTACTCCTCCTCCTCCTCCTCCTCCTCCTCCTCCTCCTCCTCCTCCTCCTCCTCCTCCTCAATGGGGGAGAGGCGGAGAAAGGTGCACCGTTCGTGCTCCTTTCGGGTTCCAGGGGTGCCCCGTAAGGGCCCCAAGGGTGCGCAGAAGGTGCATCTTTCGTCCCCCCCCCCAACCCTCGCCCCGTGATGATGAGGATGAGGATGAGGATGAGGATGAGGATGAGGATGAGGATGGTGATGCTCATGCTCATGCTCATGCTGATGCTGCTGATGATGATGATGATGATGACGATGACGATGACGATAATGATGCTGATGCTGATGCTGATGCTGATGATGATGAGGAGGAGGATGAGGATGAGAATGGTGCGGATGATGAGAGGATGGTGAGGATGATGAGGACGATGAGGATGATGAGGATGTTGAGGATGAGGATAAGGATGAGGATGAGGAATGAGGATGAGGAGGATGAGGATGAG